TTAGGAGCTCTGGTAGCATAGTGCCTAAGGCACTTGACTGCTAACCAGAAGGCTGGCGGTTCAAACCCACCAGCCACTCCTCGGAAGGAAGGTTGGGCAACCGTAGTGATACTGCCTCGGAAACCCAAGGAGGGGTCGCTATGAGTTGGTGCCGACTCGATGGCAAATAACAACAACAAACCAAATTATCTTCTCCTCAATTCTGCTCCTTCTCTTGCCTTCATCATCTTCATAAGCAAAGTTCCTATACACATGATCATCAAAGTAGAAACTTCAGCCACCCCCTACCCGCTCCCTCACTCTTCATATCCAAACTGTCACCAAATCCCATCAATCATTGCTCATAAAGTATCTCTAAATCTCTCCCCTACTTCCATTGTCATTGTCACTACTTTAATTCAGGCCCTTGCCATCTTACCTCTTAAGCACCAAACCTAATTGACACTTTTCAAACACCATTTTCATCCTTATGACACGTCCGACACTGTTAAACTTCCTTCCAAAAACCCTTTTCTCCCATGTCTTTACTCTTTTATTCAACAAGTAGGTATCAAGTGTCCTATTTGTAGTTCTCATTCTCCTCCTCTAAGAATGATTAACAGCATCTCACCTCTCCTGATCTTCCCATAAGATATCCTGGAACATAATTCTAAAAATAGTGCTCAAACTTCTACCTCAGTTCATGCCTAGCTCATTATTTTTACCCATTAATACACAGAAACCAGTAGGCATCCAATACAGTTGCAACCAATACAGGTGCCACATTCTTCTTACACCCCAATGTTATGCATGAGCATGGCACAAGATGCTTAACATTATTCACAGCTCCCCATCTATCCTGAATTTGTCACTGTTCCCTCAAATATTACATTCTCTTTCACGTCTCTAAACTTTTGTACAGGCTGTTACCTCAGCTTGGAAAAACTCTTAATTTCTTCTCTGTTGGGAAATTTCTGCTCATTTTTCAGGGTCCAAATCACATTTCAACTTCTCTAAGTAGAATACTTAATGAGACTAAGTCAATCATTCCCACCTTTGTGCTTCAAGCACTACTAACACTACTATTTATCTCTACTAGAATCTAAAATTCTGAATTAGAATTATTATTTTGAATGTCTGCCTCCATGTTCAATGAAGATGAGAATTACATTATTCATCTCAAAATCTCTGCCATCAAAACATAGTGGCACTCAATAAATATGCATTGTACAGTAAATAAATGAATAGCAAACCATTAGCAAATATTTTTTTAATGAATTGCTAAAAAACAGAAAAAAATCTTTAACCATGCCCATAAAACATAAGTAAGCTTCTCAAGAAAATATGAATTTTAATTTAAATATCACTCACATTTAACTCTATCAATAGCCAAATTTTCAAACTCTATCAAAGATATGTTTTCAGATGGCGGCTGGAGGTAAAACTGAAGGCTATGAGGGTAACAAGCACTTCTCTGGTCACCTGCCAACCTCTGCTTCCTCATCTTTCCTCCAGAAAACTGCATCTTGGCTACCTGGGAAAGAGATAAATAAAAAGTTAAAATGATGGAAAGTGGAGCTGAAAAGAAAACAGCAAACAAAAATAATACACATTCACAGAAAAAACTCTGAAGTTGCAGGGCATGCACAAAATGTTAATAGTGGGTAACCCTTGGCAGTGTTTTTCAGTATTTTTTCCATTTTTCTACAATACTATTGTAATAAGTTTGCAAAGGAAGGAAGAGGAAAGGGGTGCTGGAGGAGATTCAACGTGGTGATCCTAACTTCCAGCAACATGAGTGTCATGTGATACTGGCTGCTCAGGACAGATCTAAGTCCCACCACCTTAGATTCCCGCAGTCTCAAGAGACAAGATAAGAATTTATATGGGCATAGTGCCTAAGGCATTTGACTGCTAACCAGAAGGCTGGTGGTTCAAACCCACCAGCCACTCCTTGGAAGGAAGGTGGGTCAATCTACTTCTGTAGCAATACTGCCTCGGAAACCCAAGCAGGGGTCACTATGAGACCAAATCGACTAGACAGCAGTGAGTTTTGAGAGCAATCCCGAACTCGGAGGAAGACGTGGCAGATGCTAAACGACACCTGATCAACCGGGTCCAGTTACTCCTCATCTTATGAGCTCGAGAAACAGAACTACCTTTTGAAAATCCTTTTGGAGAGCCTCCTCAAGTTTCTTTTATCTTCCCACTCCGATCCTCCACTACCCCAAAGAAGCCATCTCCCCTCAAGGATAAATGGTATCCGCGTCTCTGCCCCAGACGAGGGCGCTCTCTGGTAAGGCATTTTGAAAGCTAACCAGAAAGCTGGCGGTTCAAACCCACCAGCAGTCTTCCTGGTAAGGAAGACTAGACATCTACTTCCATAGAGATACCACCTGGGAAACCCCAGGTATCGCTATGAGTCGAATCCACTTGACGACAGGGAGTATGGTTTTTTTGGTTTGGCCTGAAAAGAACCACCAACATCCCCACTCTCAACCGTTCGTTCCTTCTACTCCCACCACCCGCCAAATGATCTCCTTTTTTTTCTTGACTTGCAAGCCTGAGCACGAAGATTGGCTTGTTCTACAATCCATAGGGGTGTCTCTTACCTGCAACCACACCAAGTATGAGAAATACACAAGCGCTTACACTTATCCCGAGTGGCGGGAGATTTCAGTGTGGAGGCGGAAGCGGAAACAATTTGTACGCAAGGTCCGCCCCGGAAGGTCCCGCCCCCCCAGCGCGGGCCTTGCGCCTGGGTGGTGGGGTGCTTCTGGGCGCTGGAGTTGTTTCTGCAGCTTGGCTTGTTTAAAATTTTTGAAATAAGAGTGTATATACCTGGAGCATTGGTAGTGTAGTGCCTAAAGCATTTGAGTGCTAACTAGAAGGCGGGTGGTTCAAAGCCACCACCCACTCCTACGAAGGAAGGTTGGGCAATGTACTTCCGTAGTGATACCGCCACGGAAACCCGGGAAGTGGTCGCCGTAAGTCAGGTTTGACTGCACGCCGCATAACAACATGGTTTTTGTTTCTTTTTTGCGGGGGAAGAGTTCTTAAACTTTAAGGCGCACCTCTTCTATGTGGAGTTGGTAGCTTTTGACAATTGAAATTAGGGTGCTGCTATGGTAGAGGCAAAACTTTTACATGCTGAATATAAATAGAACTTCGTTTGAGGACGCTGACAAAAAATGGCATTAATTGAGGAAAATGTGCTTTAACTCGCAATTAGGGCAATTAGCACTTTTAATTTAGGGGAGGAGTAGCAGAAGAACGGGCCTTTACTGAGCTTTTTTTTTTTTTTTGCATCCAGTTTACTATTAACAAGTGGACTCGGACTCATAGCGACCCCTATTGGGCTTCCAGGGCTGTAATTCTCTACGGAAGTAGATCGCCCAATCTTCCTTCCGCTGAGTGGCTGGTGGGTTTGAACTGCTCACCTTGTTTGTTACGTGCGGTGGAGTAGTCTCTGACTCAGCGACCCTGTGCAAAGCAGAACAAAACACCGCTCTTGGTACTGTGCCAGCTCGCGGATCCTTGCTATACTTGAGCCCACTGTTAACTGCCACTGTATCAATCCATCTCATTGAGGGCCTTCCCCTTTCCTGGACCCTCCACCTTCCCAAGCATGACATCCTTCTCCAGGGAATTGTCCTTTCTGATAGCATGACCAAAGTAGGTGAGAGGAAGTCTGGGCATTCTCCCTTCTAAGGAGCATACCAGCTGCACTTCCTCCAGGACAGATTTGTTAGTTCTTTTAGCAGTCCATGGTACTTTCAGCATTCTTGGCCAGCACCTTGTGGTTAGCAGCAAAATGCCTTATCCACTACGCGGCTAGAGAGCCTTAGCTCACTGTTAGGAGCTCTGTTTTTTTCTCACGTAACCTTTGAGCAGGCCGGCAAAATTATTCATATTACCCCTATTTTGGACATGAGAAAACATAAGTTTAAAATAATTGTTAGCTTGCCATCTACGTACAACACATACTTTGTTTTCTCTATTGGAGGTCACATCGGATATGGACAAGTTCCACGTTCAGTTCATTTGGTTTTTCCCACAATTCCTCTAATGTAGTAAGCGCCCAACGAAATACTGTGGAATGAACTAGAATAGTGAATGAATGCACACACGTAGAAAGCGCTTCCCGATCTACGAAAAAATTGGGAGAGATCAGGCTCAGAGAGAATGTAGGATGGAAGAAGTGGAAAGGCTTGGGGGAGAAGTTGGATTTATCATCCTGATCTCATGCTGTGGCTTCTGAAGCTGTGCATCAGACCCATGCCCAACGCTCCAGCTTCTGTCTGTAGAATTTTCAAACGCTGGAAATAAGCTTCACTTACGGCGTCTAAAAGAGTTCTGGTGGTGGAGTGGGTAAGACATTTGGCTGCTATCTAGAAAGTGGGCAGTTTAAACCCATCAGCAGCTCCACATGAGGAAGAGGAGGCAATCTACTTCTATAAAGGTTTAGTTTGGAAAACCAATGTTCCAAGTCCTCTTCTGAATCCAGCTTGCATTTCTGGAAGTTTTTCATCAATATACTGCTGCAACCACTTTTTAATTATCTTCAGAAAGATTTTACTTGTGTTTGATATTAATAATACTGTTTGGTAATTTCCACATTCTGTGAGATTACCTTTCTTTGGAATGGGTACAAATGTAGCTCTCTTCCAGTCAGTTGGCCAGGTAGCTGTCTTCCAAATCTCTTGGTATAGCCGAGTGAGTGTCTGCAGCGTGGCATCCATTTGTTGAAACATCTCAATGGGTATTCCGCCAATTCCTGGAACCTTGTTTTTCACCAATTCTTCCAGTGCAGATTCAACTTCTTCCTTCAATACCATTGGCTCTTGATCATATATGCCACCTCCTGAAATGGATGAACACAGACCAGTTCTTTTTGGTACAGTGACTCTGTGTATTCCTTCCATCTTCTTTTGAAGTTTCTTGCATCATTCAATATATTGCCTAGAATCTGACAATATTGCAACTCAAGGCTTGAATTTTTTCTTTAGTTCTTTCAGCTTGAGAAATGCTGAGCATGTTCTTCTCTTTCAGTTTTCTAACTCCAGGTCTTCGCACATTTCATTATAATAACTGACTTTGTCTCTCGAGCTGCACTTTGAAATCTTCTGTTCACCTCCTTTGTCTTGTCATTTCTTCCATTTGCTTTAGCTACTGTGTTGAAGGGCAAGTTTCAGAGTCTCTTCTGACATCAATTTTGGTCTTTTCTTCTTTGGCTTTCTTCATGGATGATGTTCTTGATGTCATCCCATAATTCCTCTGGTTTTTGGTCATTGGTGGCCAATGCATCAAGTCTATTCTTTAGATGGTCTCTAAATTCAAGAGAGATATAATCAAAGTCATATTTTGGCTCTCGTAGACTTCTTTTAATTGTCTTCAACTTCAACTAGAATTTGCATATGAGCACTTGATGATCTGTTCCACAATCAGTTCCTGGCCTTGTTTTGGCTGAAGATACTGAACTTCTACTTCGCCTCTTGCCACAGATGTAGTCAATCTGATTTCTGTGTACTCCATCTGATGAAGTCCACATGTATAGCTGCCATTTGTGTTGTTGAAAAAAGGTATTTTCAATGAGTAAGTCACTGGTCTTGCAAAATTCTGTCATGCGATCTCCAGCGTTATTTCTATCACCAATGCCATATTTTCCAACTACCAGTGATTCTTCTTTGTTTCCAACTTTTGCAATCCAATCACCAGTGATAATTAACACATTTTGATTGCATGTTCAGTCAATTTCAGACTGCAGAAGTTGGTAAAAATCTTCAACTTCCTCACCTTGGCTTTGGTGGTTGGTGCATAAATTTGAATAAGTGTAGTAGTAACTGGTCTTCCTTGTAGGCATATGATATCATCCTATCACTGACAGCATTGTACTTCAGGATAGATCTTGAAACATTCTTTTTGATGATGAATGCCATGCCATTACTCTTCAAGGTCATTCCCAGAATAGTAGATCATATGGTTGATTCAAAATGGCCAAAACCAGTCCATTTCAGCTCACAAATGCCTAGGATATCAATTTTTATGCATTCCATTTTTGAATGAAATGAAATTCCATTTCATTTTTGACAACTGCCTCAGATCTCTTTCAAGTGCTGAAGAGCAAAGATGTCTCCTTCAAGACTAAGGTGCACCTAACCCAAACCATGTTATCTTCAATTGCTTCATATGCATGTGAGAGCTGGATAATGAATAAGGAAGACCGAAGAAGAATGGATGCTTTTGAGTTGAGGTGTTGGCAAAGAATACTGAAAGTACCATGGACTGCTAAAAGAATTAACAAATCCTGGAACAAGTCCTGGAAGAGGTGCAGCGAGAATGCTGCTTGGAAGTGAGAATGGCCAGACTTCATCTCAGCTACTTAGGTCATGTTGTCAGAAGGGACTGTTCCCTACAGAAGGATATCATGCTTGGTAAAGTAAAGGGTCAACTAAAAAGGGTAAGGCCCACAACAAGATGGATTGACACACTGGCTGCCACAATGGTCTCAGTTGTAGCAAGGATTGTGAGGCTGGCACAGGACTGGGCAGTGTTTCATTCTGTTGTGCATAGGGTCACTATGAGTCGGAGATGACTCGATGGCACCTAATAACAACAAGAATATAGTATCCAAAAGGTTAATACTCAAGATATAAAGAACTTATGTAAATTCATTAGAAAAAAGTTCTAAACAAATTAAAAATAGAAAAAGAACAGGAACAGATAACTCATAGAGAAAATAAAGTGTGGAAAATTTTCATCATACCAGCAATCAGAAATTTTCTGAAAATTTGACAAATATTTTTCATTGAGAATATGTAGTGTTGGGCAAAGTGCAATATGATGGGCTCACATAGGAATTGCTTACAGTGCCAGAGTATAAAATGACTTTGTGTATTATAAGTCCTAAAAGAGCTCATATGATTTGACCAAATAATTGGACTTAAATCATTCTGTCCAGAAATGGACACAAACATTTGTGTTCAAGGAACTTCATTGCAACATTTTAAGAATGAAAATCTGGAAACAATATAAATGACAAACACAAGGAAAAAAACCAAATAAATGATAGTATATTCATACTATGTCACATTATTCAGTTGCTCACAATATATATATATATATATATATGAAAAATATTGGACATGAGACAATGCTCAGGATACTATTAAGTTAGGCAAAATACATAAAATCACATATACCGTAACTCTAAACAAACCAAATTCACTGCCCTCAAGTTGATTCCTACTCATAGCCCCCACTACGTTTCCAAGGCTGTAAATCTTTACAGAAACAGATTGCCCCATTTTTCTTCCACAGAGCAGCTAGTGGGTTCAAACTACTGACCTTTTGGTTAACAGCCTACACTACCAGAGGGCCTTACATTACTATATGATCCCAATTTTGCAGAAACATTAATGGACAACAGTAATTTTTAAATTACTTTTTCTGGTAAATAAAAATAATAACTGCTCTTTGTAAAACTTAAAAAATAACAAAGAGAATTAAATGACCTATGATGCTACTACTATATGCAAATCCCATCACCCAATGGCACACATTGTTAACATTTTGCTTCAGTCAATAAAATTTTAGGGTTAATGACACTAATGAAAGATAGACCTTGCCATCCTGCTACTTTTTCCTGTGATTCTTCCCAGTAATACAAGGAAGCTGCCCTCTGCTTCTTCCTTCTTCCACCTAAATAGCTACCAATCCCTGTCCTGCCCTCTTCTTACTAGGGACAGATATTGTCTATTGGAATCCTAATTTACTTGCAAGGCAGCCCCTCTGAGCAATATTGATTTTTTTAATTCAATTTTTCTATGCTTGATCCTCTGGTAGCATAGTGGCTAAGGCACTTGACTGCTAACCAGA